AGTGGGGAAGGCGATGTTATTGTTCAGTTGTAGCAATGTACCGGTTGATAGCTACGCCAGTAGTAAGGTGTCCAACATGGTTGTTACTCTTATCCAGGATATCCCTGGGCTTTGTTTGCCGAGCAATAATTAGGATGTGAAGGGAAAGCAATTGTATTACCATGCGTCACGAAGAAAAAAAAGTACTAGTGCTTAATTCGAATTCAATTACGAATTCAAGTAGGCAAAGAAAGAGAGGGCAGAGCGTTTAGAGAAAAAAATCACAGCGTATCCACGAAGTGAATCATAATGAGTGGGGCAGAGCTTCTCAGGGTTTTATCGGTAAGCCGTGAATCGTCTGTCTGTTTACACTTTCTGAGTGAGTCATCGAACTAGGCGGTCACGTACGAGCTAAGAGGGACAGACCCATGGCTTTAGGAGCTTCACTCCTAAAAATTGCCCTTTTGGAGTGACTGGTAACTGCCATCGAAAAAGCAGCTGCCTACACTCCTGAATGAGCCTTGAAAATTTCACTAAATTTATTAAACGTATGTTTTGGAATCAGGCTGTGTAAAGCAATAGAAAGATGGAGGTTCCCATCTTTCACAAACAAAGTTAAGACATTTCCTAAAAGTATGTCTGCATACAGCATGAAAACACAACAGGAGGCAAAATATATATGCATGAATATACTTTAGTGGCACCAACAAAATAAGCTGCCGTACGTCACAAAAGGCACAGGTCAAAGCAGTTCTGTGTCATAGCATTGCTCTTAGGCTGTCGCCTTTCGCAGGCATTTGCAGCCTTCTACATCGCGGTCAACAACAACCCCACTATCTTTGTTGTTGCCAACCTCCTCTAGGTTGGGGAGTCCCTGCAGTTATTCAAGGAGACTCTTTTTTCATTGCAAATATTGTGGAGGACCACATATTTGCACCCGTAATTATCGAGCAGCATCTCTTGATGCTGGCTGCATCTACAAAATACAGCCGGTGGGCTTGCTCATTAACTAGTCCGAATGCTACTTCTATTGCAACTAGTTGCTGTGCATGACATTCATTATATTTCCTTTTCCAGATGGGGATGCTCTGCTCTATGTTTTTTAGGCACTATGAGCCAAGGCAGCAACAGTTAGGCAGAGTCTTCAGAATACAGCCATCACAGCACTTTGCTGCTTTTTCAAAAAAAAAAAAAAAAAAAAGGCCTTCACGTAGAAGAATGCGGGTGCTGCTGAGTACATCTGTGAACTTGTTTTTGTGGTTACATATGCCCTGGAGGATGAGTGACAGAAACTTCTTGCAGTTGATGTAAGAGTGCACCAATTCACTTGGACTATGTGGCATCCGTCCACGCACCCTACGCAGCTTTGTGGTACGTTACCAGGGCTCTTTGCTAAAAAACCTGCTTTAATACGTTTTTGCTGTTGCTGGTTCGGCCTTGCGCTTACCTCCTTGCCCATACTTTGCAGAAGGTTGAGCACCCTTTCGATGCATGCATGGACAGACAACTTGGTTATGCCAAGCGTATCTGCAACCGAGTGCATGCTGCATTGGCCTCCGAGATAACTTAAAACTATAAGACAGGCTTTCTCCGCACTGATTCATGCGCGGCCTCCATGAGTAGCCTCTGGGAAGAATAGAGATGTTCGACATCTGCCAGCAAGAAAGTTAAAAGTCTTGCATGACACTCCAAAAAGCCGCTTAAATTAAAACTGGAAACATCTGCCAACGACATCTCCACAGTAGCGTGGAATGCAATTTCTGTCTGCCCTCATCAACCTTACATCACGACGCCAAGCTCCTCAGAGTCCACAAGCTCTATGGACACTTGAGCAGCTGTCGCAAGCAGTCTATCGTAGAAGCAGAGCAAGGCAGTCACACCAACTTAAAGCAACAAAAAATGTCAACCCCCTCAGAAATACAAAACACAAATGTCCATGGGGAAAAAAAGGAAGACAGAGGAACGTGGCAGAAAAAACGGTGTCAGGATGTGGAGCAGAAGGCCTGCATTCGTTTCGCTGCTGCACCGATGTCCCGATCCAGGTGAACCCCCTTGAACTGGTGCTGCGAAATTGCTGCACCCTTCGTGCACCTTTATGAATTGTGTGCAAGTTGCGCAGTCGAATCGAACGGACCCTGTGTAACGGCTGGCGATCCGTGTGTTCCAGAGATTCTAAGTGAGTGTCGGGGAAGCGAGGCAGCACAGTTAGCTTATCACGGCTGCAGCAAGCATGTGCTCAAAAACTAACTACGTACTGCTAGGGCACATAAGTAGTCTTATGGCTTTGCTTCATTTTTTCTTTTCGCGAAGGCAGCGAGCGCCCCCTCAGGTACAGAAACACAGAAGGAACCACGTCGCTATTCAGTCGCACATACTTGATAGTCAATCTCAGCATCTTTCTTGCAGGTTTGAAGTCTTTTCTTTTAACTGCAGCGGCCAATTTCACAGCCATCTTGTGATCCCAAGAACACTTTTGAAACGGGACCTGATCGCGACCGAAAGTGCTGCGGTAATAATATGCTGTGCAGTAATTCAGCATTGCGAGTCCATTGTGACCTCGTACAAACACAACTAGTGAATGTCAAATGGCAAAAATTTCTAATGAGAAGAGAACTGTACAATGGCAAAAAAATCTCTACGAACTGGCAGTACCGATGCTTCGCTAGGCAGCAGATCACACCAGAAACAAGACAAAATCCCAAAGCAAACAGGCTCAGCTGACGGAGCGACGAAAGCAGCCCAGCGGCTCGCTCCTTCGATGATGTCACCTCCCCACACGTCTCTCCTACGCTCTGGCCCTGCTAGGCGCGCGCCGGGAGGCGTTCCCTCAGTTGAAGTTGGCTCGCTTATAGCGCTGTTGTTTAATTGAAAACCGTGAAAGAAAAGTGATGTAGGCATGTTACAGAATGTGGCATATACTGCATTTGCGATAAATTAGCCAATGCAAAAGCACTTCAGTGTCTCTTAAAAGAGTTCTAATTAATCTGGGATTGTTGCTCTAAATTAGACCACGGGTTTTGAGAACACTAAAGAGGGTACTGGGGTGTCTGGGAACGCATTGCACATATCTTGAATACCATTACTTTAAAATGTCCCCTTCGGCTTCGATATCGAGGGGGTAGCTTCTCGATGACGTGCCATGTCAGTGTGATATCACGCCAAGACAGCAATTCGAGACGCATTAGTGGCAGGTTGGCCATCTGCTCGTGGTGCACACAAACAATGACGAGTACACTGTCCCCAGCGAGCCCAACAGCCATTTCTGTGATTCAGGCTGCGTGCAGGATGCCGAGCTCCCAAACACTGTTGAACTGAGTAGCATCGCGAACTTGTTTGCAGCGCAAGACTAGAAATACAGGACAGGGAAGGAGCAAAAGAGAAAAGAAAAGACGGCACTTTTCTTCCCTGTTCCTCCTTTCCTGTCCTGTGTTTCTAGTTATGCGCTGCAAACAAGTTCACAATGTATCCCAACCAACTTGCCCAACTTACCTTTGAACTGAGTTGATTTCTCAGGATAATGTCCATTACAGTGTGGCTGGCGTGCTAATGCTCAGCGAGGAAAGCTTTTAATATGAAAAAAAAAAAAATGTTTTTTATGCACTGCCAGACTCCAGTGTGTGCCGAGCGTCACCCTTGCATACCAAAAAAATAAAAAATGACCCTTGTGACTCAAAATCGTGGCAGCACTCCTTTAAGGGGCTCTGCAACACTTTTTGAGCATGGTCAGAAAACGCTGCCGATCAATACTAGAGGCTCCCAACAACACGCGAGCTAATTATTATAGTGCAGCATGCGGCCTGGAATTCACATTAATTTATCAGTCAGCTAAAAATTTCTTTCTTTTCTCTCAACAAATCACAGAAGACGCACAGAAATCACTCTTAAAAAGCCCACCTATTAGCCATTGGCTGATTTGAATATGACGCACTCGGTCATTACAGAGAGCATGTGCGCACGCAATCACACTGAAAAAGCCGCGCATTTGAATAAAAAAAAGAAAAATAGTGCTCAAGGTCACGAGGCATGCCTGAGGTATATTTTTTACTCTGTCATACCTCCCTGCTTAGCTTCCAGCACTTTCGTCGAGACGAGAGAAGAGAGAATACAATTGCAGCATGCGACAAATCTTTGTAACTCCACTCGCACTAGACTGATTTTAAAATTTTTGCGGCGTTGAATTCGTGAGTGTTTTCCAGTGGATTCATTCTATGGTTACTTGAAAAAGTGCTTCGGGGCCCCTTTAAGTGCCTCCAGGTTTCGAATACCGTGAGCGCAAACGAACTGTACAAATGGCTCGCCATTAGTATACTGCAGAACGTACGCTGTGTGGCCGGGTTGGTTAGAGCCGCCTGCTACAGAGCAAGGAACTGTGGGTTCAATTCCCAGTGACGGAACTTCTTTTTCTTTGTCATCTCTTCGTGCATATTGTCACGTTCCTTTCCTCAAGTGTTATTATCGCCCCGTTACACTATGTCCAGCGCAAACCGCGCCTACAGTGTTAGAGAAGCTTCGAGGCTGTAGTAGATCATTTTGTTAAGATTACGCCCACTTAGTGAGCATTTCAGATTATTCTGGAACCTACGTCGCCGCTAGCTAGAATGCTAGAATGTTCGATGGCTAGAATGTTCGATGGCTAGTGTATAAATGCCGACACGCTTCGCCGCTTGTCAGTTGATTGACGGCCGACGTTCTGTTCGCCGCTATTAATGCCAGTGTCTTGCTGTAATCCGACTTTCCTTTTACATGGCCACACGTTCGACCCAAATAAACAGTTTATTGTTTGACCTGCAGTCTGCTGCCTTTGTCCACGCCACGACTCCGTGACAATATTTTCCGTCCCATCTGTGACGGAAATACGTCGGCTAAGTCTTAGTTAACCGCAGCATAGAACACTTTCGTTTTGATAAGTTACAAGTTTCATAAAACAAAGCAGTCACCAGTGCAACAGCAATACAATACCCATCTTCTGACAAGCTGTCAGCATAAATTCATTCACTGAACAAAAATGAAAGTGCACTGAAAAACTTCCTGGATGAAATTTTATTGTGTCCAGCACAGCATATAAAGCATCACAGTAATGTTAAACTACACAACAATCAACATATGTCTGAATAGCAGCCACTGTTCTTGAAGCTACACAGCACAGATGACTATTTTCCTTCTTGTGCAATAAGATGAGTTGAATGAGATGAAGTTGCAACAAAGAAAGAGACTTGAAAAGTCACCTAGACACAAACCCTGGCTCTGTGAGACCTTGTGGGGTGCTGCTGAGGTTCTGTTGGTGTGACGAAGTCTCACAACATCCACTGAAGGCAGGATGCTGAGAAGGTGAAGGCGCTGCCATGTGGCCACTGGTGAACTGCTCTTGGGGCTGGGGAACAGCTGCATGACACTGCTCCGGACACTGTGCTGTACAGTTATTTCTAGTAAAGCTCGGCAGCTCACCGTCTGCACAACTGTTTTCCGCTGGAGCAAAGAGGTATGTGTGACAACTGTGTGGACCGTCTGAGTTCGTATGGCCGGATGTGGTTGAATCTAATGTGTTGGGCTCAGTGCTTCCAGATGCCATTCCTGGAAAATACTGCTCCATGCATAGTGTCCCTTGCTGGTAGCCACTGTTGGATCCGTGCAGGTATGACGATGCATGTGGCAGCTCAGGGCCATACAATGGGCAAGAACAATGCTGCAGGCCTTGATGCACCTGCTGATGGCAGGGAGGCCACGACACCTGAGCATTGTTGTTGCTACTGCAAGGGTCACAGACGGCTTGGTAGTCTTCCCGACATCTTGGTGACACGCTGTCACTATGCTGCTGGGCTAGGGGTGACAATGCAGCAGGCGATGGAGCCACAGGTGGAGACACAGAACTGAACCGGTGCAAGGGTGTGTTACTCTTTGACGCCTGTGACGAGACCCCCGGTCCAGGAGGAGATTTCGATACTCTTGCCCTGGACAGTGCCGATGCGTTAGACCGCCTGGACTGACCGGACTTGATCTCCCGCATTTCGATGGCCTCAGGCATGGCAGCTGGCCGGTCACTCTGTGCCTTCCTCAGGGGAGTCGGTGTCAGGAGAGTCTCCTTATTTTGTTCTGTCTGCGTTTCCTGGTGTGTCTGAGGTCGTGGCGGGGAAGCCATGGCTGCTGCTGCAAGTGCCCTTTCCCGCTCTTCCACCATGCGCTGAGCAGACAAAATGTGCGGACTACGTATACCTGCATCTGTGAAGTCTGAATCTGATGTTATGATTGGTATGAAGCCTGTCTCGCTTGAACTGTCCGGCATGGGATGCAGTGGAATGAGTGGTGTGTGTGCCTGGTCCAGTTCAGTGTATGATGCCAAGCCCTGGCCGTATGTGTACAAACCAGGATGGTAGAAAGGAAAGCCCGGGTAGCTGAATGGCCCAGGATAGCCAAAGGGTGGAGGTATGGTGGTTTCAGGTGGAGGGTGTCCCGGCAGCCGCAGGCCATTCAGGTAGCTCAGGTAAGCAGAATAGGGATTGGCTGCAGCCATAGCAGGGTAGCCTGGAAGAAGCATCTGAGGGGCTGCTGGGTTGGGTGGACCGGGTTGAGCTGTGGCAAGAGCCACATTCGCTGCCACAGCAGATGAATTGATGTTGTCTCCAGGGTTAGATGTCCCAGCAACACTACGTCGCATCGACATGCGTGTAGAACCCGACTCAGACATGCCATGGGTGAATGGTGGGTTGATCAGCAGTTCACTGCGCTTTTGCCCCACAACAGATGGCCTCAGCAGGGAAAAGTGGTTTTGGGCGAGTACACTGCCAGGGTTCAAGTCTCCAGTGCTCGTGGCTCGAGCCACAGATGCTGGTTTGGAAACAGCGGGTGCACCATGCAGGCCACGTTGAAACGACGAGGCTGCCAGGCTTTGCATGGATGAGTCGCTGCCACGCCTGATGGGTGCTGTGTGTGGGAAAGGTGAGGGTCGGTGAAGAGCTGCCATGTGTAAGAGTCGTTCACGCTCGCGTCGTGTCTTTCTGCGTTGGTGGCGGGCAATTGCGCGTTGTGCGGCAAGCCACTGCTGCTCTGCTGCCACCTGGTAGCTCATCTGTGAGTCGAAAGATTGGCGCCGCACACTCAACGAAAGCTGCCGGCTCACGTCTGCAACAAGAAAGAACAAGGCTTAGCCCCAGTGAAAGTCACTGCCCAATAAGTTAACCTTTGTGAGTACGCTGAATAGTACTTGGGTCTGGCACATTGAGATAACAGGATAAACTTAGCAGACTAAACACCATGGACAATGTGCGATATCATCACTACAGGCCAAATTTTTAGGCATGAAAAGTGTGGTGGCAAAAATGAGCAGACAAAAGAACATTTTAGGCCTCTGACATTGTAAATATGGGCCCAATAGATATTTACAGGTATGCACATGATTGCTAAAGAAGATGTGTTTGACCTGCACCTATGACAGGAACACACAAAAAAATTATTGGTTATAATGACACAAAGGTGCCAACAGATGTACATCACCGTGCAATTGTCCTCTTTACCACAAAGTTCACTGAACATGGTCTCCGTTCATTTCATCTGTAGCATGGTGTGTCACAGAGTTTTACATTCTTTTATTGGTGCCAGTATGCTATACGGCATCAGTTAAATAAAAAGAAAAAGTTCTGTTTCCTGTATAAAGGCCAGGAGTGGTCGATGCAGGGGACCATGCGTCCAGCGCGTCAAGTCAGGTGGTCGACCGGGGAGGTGGTGAAGGCCGCATAGGTGGCGAGTGCGAGCCTGTGAAGGCCAGGGCAGGTTCCCAATAGGTGATCAAGCGTTGCCTCTGTGGTGGGGCAACGCAGAATGGGCATGTCGTTGGGGAGGATGTGCACCGGGTTTCCATGTAGCCCGGATTGCAGGAGTCAAGGCGGCACCCACACGAATCCTCCTGAGCGCAATTTCCTCTCGGCGAGTTAAGCCACCCGGAAGGTCTGATCCACGCGGAGCAATAAGTGCACGCGTGGAGCGCCGGAGAGTTTCTTTGTGCACGAACAAGCTGTCCTTCAGAGACAAACGAAGTAGAGGCAGCGGGTGTTGAACAGCCGCTGGATGGCAAGCGGCATCTGCTTCCAATTGAGCCGGTGCAGATCGGCGAGTCCACAATATGCAGACAGGACAGGCACACGAGTGAATCAGTCGGTGTATATCAGAGGCTATATCGAGAGAGCTGGTCACTTTTTGCAGCTCTCAAACTGCCTGCATGGAGTCCGTATATACAAGCAATTTATCATGTGACAAAGAATCCATTTTAGATAGCATAACTGTTAACCCGTCAAGTATCGCAGAGAGCTTCAGCTAATATGGATGGAAACGGTGCCTCTGTTACGTAAGAGCAGATACGCTGAGTTTCAGGTAGCGCGTGGCATATGAGACTGGTGTGCAGAACGCAGTTATCGATAGCTGCGTCTATGTATACCGCTAGTGAGTTGTCGGTGGTAGACTTGTCTGGCGAATTGGCGCAGGCGGGTCAGTGGTCGGTTATCGCTGGCCTGTGCCTTGATCCATGGTGGAACTTCTGCCAAGGGGGTGCCAGGCTGTGGCAGCGTTGAATTATAGTAGTGAGTGTTATGCCAGCGAGTCCTCGTCAAACGTCCGTGCCTCTGAAAAAGGCAATATGGGTCAAGGCCAGCCCGCAGTCCGCCTGACGCGAACATCTCAACGGCGTGAACACGCGCGGCGCTTCTCTGGCCCACGTGCATTGAGTCAGCTGCGCACGTGACAGCAAGCCGGCGTCCTCGTGTCTGGTGGTCTGACGCATGGCGCGGCGACCCCATTGGACGAATCTGCCCTGACGACCAGCGGCGCTTCTGATTGGACATTTTGGTTGGACCCGGTGTAAATAAAAGAAGCCCTGCGGCGTGTCGCGGCGGGCGGTCCTACGAGAGAGAGGAGTCCCCATGTCGGAGAGCCGACATGTGTGTGAGTCGGCGGTCTTAGGCGAAAAGTTGACCTATGTATTAGAGAGGAGAGCTCGGCTCTTCGAGTCTCTGTCGGCCCCAGTGCCGAAATTGTAACGCCTCTGCATATATGCTGTACATAAACCTTGTTTAACTCACCGTCGTCTCGTCCGCTCGTCTTATCAGCTCTGCGCAGAAGCAGTCGCGAGCTGATAAACATACGCTACCAAACGGCTGGTGACCTTCCCGGCGGAGTTGAAAGCAGTGGCGCCTTCGGGGCCGTGTTGGCGTCGCCGTCTTTCGCAACAGTGGTGGCTTCGGCGGGATCGGTCCGTCTTTCGCAACAGTGGAGGTCAGCGGTGGGATTCGGAGGTGGCTTCGCAACAGTGGTTGGCAGCTGCGGGATCGGCCGGCGTCAGCGACATCGATGCGGTGAGTGCCTGATGTTTTCCCCTCAGTTCACCAGACTACTCTAGCTCAGGTTGTAGTAGTTTAGAGAAAGGCTGTGTGAAGCATTAGAGTGAGCTTTGATCGTTTCAAGCAAAGTCGAAGTGCTTTGAAACTAAAGTTAATGCGGAGGGGGTAAACACGGGAGTGTTTAAAATTGCTTGCGCGTCTTGCTAGTAGGCTTATAGTGGGTACGGCAAGTAGATTGTTAACAGGGGCAAACAGCAAGAGGCCAGTGTGAACGATGGAGAACCTTAAAGTGAACGAACTCATCGAAATTTGTGAGGAACTCGGCATTACTTTGGGCCGTGCGAAACGAAAGCAAGCGATCCTTGAGATCATGAGAGATGAAGGAGTTTCGGCTAAGGAAGTCGATGAGGCCTGGGTGGATATCAAAGCACGCCGCGAGGAGGCTGAAAGGCGAGAAGCTCGCGAACGTGAAGAAGCTAAAAGGCGAGAAGCTCGCGAACGTGAAGAAGCTGAAAGGCGAGAAGCTCGTGAAGAAGCTGAAAGGCGAGAAGCTCGTGAAGAAGCTGAAAGGCGAGAAGCTCTCGAAGAAGCTGAAAGGCGAGAAGCTAGTGAACGGGAAGAAGCTGAAAGGCGCGAGCGCGAGGAGGCCGGGAGACAGGAGCGCTTCAAGTTAAAACGAATAGAATTGGCAATCCTACAGTGTTCGCAGGCGCCTAGCGTAGCTTCTCCGACGATTCAGGTCAGTGGTTTTAGAAGTCGGGACCAACTGCCACCGTTCGTAGTAGGCGAAGACATGGCGAAGTATCTCGTCAAGTTTGAACACATCTGTGAGCGAAACGCTTTGGAGCGGCCTCTTTGGGCGCGGAACCTGCTAGCTCTTCTTCCCGGCGAAGTGTCCGACGCGATAACTTGCTTGTCGAGGGAAGCGTTTGAGAGCTATGACGAGGTTAAGGAAGTGCTCTTGAGACGTTATAAGTTGTCACCCGAGGCCTTCAGGCAAAGGTTCCGGTATGCTAAAAAGGGGAATGAGTCACACGTTGACTTCGCGTTTCGTCTTAAAGCCGATTTGATTGAATGGCTCAAGGGCGAAGGTGTTTATGACGACCGCGATAAAGTGGTGGAATGCGTTGCATTGGAGCAATTCTACCGCTGCATCGAGGATAATGTCAGACTTTGGCTGCAGGACAGACTTGGTGAAGTACAGCTAAACAAGGCAGCAGAGTTAGCTGAGGAGTATTATACTCGCCGAAAGTTGCATAGCAGGGCAGTGCGCGTTGAAAAGGATGAAAGAAAAGAGGGCTTTTCAAAGAAACCTGATCAACGGGAACCCGCTCCGCACCATAATTTCAAAAAGGGCCCGTCTCTTACGAAGGACACTGTAGAGGAAGAGAAAACAGAAGCGGAAAAATCGAGTGAGGTTTCTAAACAACGCACTGATACCACACGGGCGTTTGAATCACGGAAGCCACTAATCTGCTACAACTGCAAAAGGGAAGGGCACATCGCGAGAAACTGTCAGGAAAAGTTTGCTTTCGCAACGATCCGAGAATCAGAAAAAAACATTCGGTTGTTGGAGCCGTATCTCCAAGAAATTAGGGTGAATGAGAAAACGTGCCGAGCACTTAGAGACTCAGCGGCAACCATGGACGTTGTCCATCCTTCATTGGTGTCTCCGGATGACTTCACAGGAGAATGCGCGTGGATCAGGCAGGTCGCCGAGGAGCAGAGTGTTCGCTTACCAATCGCCACGGTTGTCATTAAAGGCCCGTTCGGTGAGCTTCGCACCGAAGCGGCTGTGTCTGCCGCGCTGAACGATCGTTTTCCTTATCTTTTCTCCAACAACTCGGAGCAGCTCCTCAAAGAGCAGGGCAAATCGTTCTTCCCCAACTTTGCGTGCATGGCCCTCACGCGATCGCAAGCGCGAAAGCTTTCGCGGAAGCTGGACCTGGTTCCAGGCGGTGAACTCTCAAGTGACCTTGTCGGCGGGTCGACGGAACCCCAGAAAGGAAAGTTTCCGCATGAGTCATGTGAGCAGTCACGCGAGCGGCCCGTCGCCGACACGACCGGCGCGGTTTCCGGAGAAAGGAGAGACGACATGGCGCCATTGAGTCAGAGCGAGAGGGCTGCAACGCTCTCGCCTGTAGCGGAAAGTTGGAGCGAGCTGCCGAGAGTTGATCGAGAGACGCTCATTCGAGAGCAGAGTGAGGATCTCTCGATTGAAGCGCTAGTGGAAAGCCAAATTGAAGCGCTAGTGGAAAGCCAGAAAAACGCGGCACAAGTGCTGTCGAAGGAGCACTACGAGAAATCGGTGAACAAGCGCGCTTTTGAAGTTGATAATCAGGTAAGGCTGCTGCAGCCGTACAAAAGGAACAGGCTTGAGGTTGATTGGGAAGGGCCCGCAAAAGTAGTATCGAAGCTTTCTGATACCAATTGTGAAGTGAAATTAGGAAGGCGGCCGGACAAAATTTACAACTTGATGAAACCTTACGTTCAACATCAAGCGGTCGTAAATCTGTTGTTGAATGCTTCAAAGGAAGAAGAAGCAGAAATTTTGAGTTCTAGTGAGGTAATTGAAGGGTGATCGAAAGTGATCCGGGAGCAGATAAACCTAGAGCCTAGCTTAAGTGAAGGAGGACCTGAGAAAGAGGACCTGGGAAAGATTGTTTTCGAGTTTGGAGACGTGTTTTCAGACCGTCCCGGAAACATGAGGGTGATCGAACACGATATCGAGCTAAGCGGTGAGGAGTCAATCAGTAGCAAGCCGTATCGTTGTTCCCCTGTGCAACGTCGCAA